CCTTCCTGCTCCTCTGATGCTGATTGGCCTGCTGTGTTCATCCAGCTCTACACCTTGTTATCTCAGACATTTTCTGTTGCTGGTACCTGCAAGATACAAAGTAGAGAAGGCACAGTGGCCAACAGATAGAAGTGGTATTCAAAGAATGACACTGACAATGATTACTGTGAGTGTTGGAGTGGAATCGTGCCTGGTTGGCAGGACATGGATGTTTCGGCATACTTGCAAGAGTGGTCCCAGTCTTGGAGAGACTCTCCTCAGGAAAGGATTTTCTTCCCTTAAGGAGTGACAATTTCAGGCATCCCTCCACCATTCTGGGCCCTTTGTGTCCTATAGTGAGCTGTCTTCTCCTGGAATGAAAGGAAGATGAGGATTGAGTGTGATGAAAGTGGGCAGAACAGCTGTGAGTGCAGATGCAGCTGGTCAAAAGGTAGTGAGGTGTTCCAAGAGAGTGAATAGGCAGTGTAGAAGCCATGCATGCTTAATGGTGTGGAAAGTTAGGAGGGGTGAGAGTGAGTTAGGGAAGATGTGCATGCAGTAGTGAGTTTGGTAGAGCTTGAGACTTGGTGGGTGGTTTGGTCCATTAGTAAGGATACAGTGAGTGTGAGATTCTAGTGTAAATACTGTAGCACATATCCTGGCACAGCAAGGAAAATCACTAACGTTCTGTGGCACTGCTGGTCATTCCGCTGACTCATTTAGACTTGACTGACCCAGGTGTTGACCTTGGACCAGGTTGCCAGATCTGTTATCATGGCCTCCTCTGCTGGTCCTTAGGGAGGAGGATGCTCTTCCTCTGCACCAGGATCTTGGGGTTATCTACACTTCCCTGACACCTTCAGACTATATGTCAATCACTGAGCTGCTTTGGAATACCAGCAGTCATCCGGGTGCACAACAACCTTTGAAATACGGTGCAAGTGACAGGCTTGTTGGCCTCTGTTCGATACCTGCTGGGTGTTAAGTTCCTCCAGGAATGGTATGTGGTAAGACACAGCAAGAATCAGATGGGAGGGATACCATAGTGGTATGTAGTTAATGTGGTAAAAGAGCTTCAAAACAAAGCTCAATACTACTGGCATTCAGCCAAAAAAGGTAAGATTCAGCCAAGAATCTTTAGTTTTGTCCTTTTGTTATTTCTGCAACTTCTCACCTTACATGTTGATTTACTCTTAATCATATATCCATCTCCTTCTGTCATGGTCTGTTTATCATCTCCCATATTAGTACCTTCCTCTCCTGTCCTGTCTCTACTGCACAGTAATATGATTCAACCCGTTTTCTTTGAATGACAATCTTATACTCATATGAAGCTGAAAAGTTACTGTGTTTCCACTTTAAAGTTCTTTATTCAGTTGGCCTACTGTACTTGCTTTCTCCTCAGCAAAGTTCTACATTCACTGGATGCTAGCTTCTTCAGTTAATATCTCTTCATGAGACCTTTAAGCAAGCTGCTAACATGGCTCACATATTTCTTCTGCAGCCATCTGTTTCTGGAGATTCTCAGGAATTCTTTCTCCTTACCTGAGTGTTATGGACATTGTTGAACTGCCGTGCTGTTGGTAGAGGTCTTTTCTTAGTGATAGAAGCTGGCACACACACTTTACGAAATAAATCTTTGCACTCATTGAACTTTTAGATGGTTCCCTCTGTCTGAAGCCAAGTTGTTTCTCTCACTGTCTCCCTGTCTCCTAGGGCACTTTATTGTTAGGTAACAGTTCAACTTTATTCTCTTCCTCCTCCTTTTATTTTCAGAAGAACTGAACTATTCACTTCAAAAGCTTCTTACAGGCCTCATTCAAATGAATGTAGACAAACCTCAAACAACCTGGCAACACTCACAGAACTCAAAATGAGATTAAAATATCCTTCTTCACATATACAATATAGAAATACAAATCAAACTTAAAACTATACATAGTTCTGTCCACATCAAAACATAAGTTTTCAAATAATATTAAAACATCATGATAATTTATCACAACAACTTCCCAATATTGATCTGTTAATTACATTATTTAGTTTAATCTCTGCTTCTATAATTATGCAGCTTGCTAGAACACTGGTCTCATCATAGTTCAGGTAAAGACTGGCCCAATGGCATAGATCCCACTTTCCCCATTAGTGGTGCCAGTACCGCACAAGTTGTAACCCAGGACTTCCACACCAGTCTTTCAGCCTCTAAACGTACCTCGTCAAGTGCTGGAAATTTGGGATGTGTAAAATATGTTGGCATTGCCAGTGATGCTGACCCACAAAAATGAATAAAAAAAATGTTAATGAAGAGGGCTTCAGTTAAGCTGGGTATGCATTTGTTATGTCTGATATCTAGGTCGATGTCAGGTGATCTGTTTTATACTTATTCTACATTTCGTAGTGGTTTAATATGACTGAGTAGATAGCTGGTCATATCAGAGGGTAGTTAGGAGTAAACTAATTGCTGCAGGTCTGGAGTGACACATATCCTGGGCTAACAGAATTTTTTTTCTCTAAAGAACACTAGTAAACCAGATGGGCTTTTATATTAACCCAGGTGTCAGGATCAACATGACTGATACTAGCTTTATATCCCATATTTGTTTGATCAATTGAATTCAACTTTCACCAGCTTCTATGATAAGATTTTAATTCATGGCCGTATTTCAATGTAACCCAGAGGGAATGGAAAGACAGAACCAGAAGTGAATAGCGATAGCCCTCCCATTCCTATTTCACACTGATCTCATGTCGTTTGAACAATTAAAGAATAGCAGGTGGGTGGCCAACAACCCAACAGCTCAAGCTGATGAAGCAGCTGTGTCATCAATTGATGTGGTGGAATGTACTGGCGCCATGCTTAAAGGGCTACCAGAGCCAGATCACCTTTGCTGCACAATTCATTCCTTCACAAAGCTTCTGAGCATCCATCCTTAAGTCAGTCTACACGTATTCATCCCTATAACATTTTTCTGGCCATTCATTCCAGCATAAACTTTGAATCATCATTCTTGCTAGATTTCTTTGGCCATACATCTAGCAGTATAGGAACAAAGGACCTAGGAGAAAGATTAGACCATTTGACCCTTCATGCCTCATTCAATAAGATTATGGCTGATCTGGTTGTGGCCTCTACCTCACTTTCATGCCTGCTTCCTATAGCCCTTGGCTCTCTTGACTATCAAATATCTATCTAACCCTGCCTTGATGATTTCAATAACATAGACATAAGAACCTAAGAACTAAGAGCAGGAGAAGGCAATTCAGCCCTCGAGCATGGCCTCCCATTTAATAAGATCATGGCTGATCCCATCTTGGCCTCAAGTCAACTTTCCTGCCTGCTCCCCATAACCCTTCAACCCATTACTAATTTAAAATCTGTCTACATCCTCCTTAAACTTACTGAATGTCTCTGCACTTACCACACTTTAGGGTAATGAATTCCACAGTTTCACAATCTTTTGAGAGAAGTAATTTCTATTTTAAATCTGCTATCCCTTATCCTAAAACTACGAACTGTCATTCTGGATTTCCCCACAAGATGAAACGTACTCTCTGTGTCTACTTTGTCAATGCCCTTTACCATTTATATACCTTAATTAGATTTCTTCTCTTCTAAACTCTAAAGAATATATGCTTAAGCTACTCAAAGAGAATACCCTGCAGAGAGAAAAATAATTTCTTCATCTCCATCCCTGTTAAGGAAGACCTCTTAATCTTAAACTGTGTCGCCTAGTTTCAACTTCCTGTAGAAGAGGAAACATCCTTTCAATACTCATGTGATCAGGTCCCCTCAAGTTCCGGATACACAGTATTCCAAATGCAGTCTCTCCAAGGCTGCATACGGTTGCAATAGAACTTCCCTACTTTTATACTGAATTCCCTTTAAAGTAAACATTAACATTCTATTCACCTTCCTAATAGCATTCCATACCTGAGTACTAACTTTTTGTAATTCATTTACTAGCACACCCAGGTCATTCTTTTGCAGTCTCTCTCCATTTAAATAATACGCTGTTTTCTATTCTTCCTGAAGTGGACAAGTTCACTTGTCCATACACCATCTACCACATTTTTGCCCATTCATTCTATCAATAACATTTTGCAAACTCTCTAGCTTGCCTTGACAGCTTATTTTTTGTAAACCTATCTTGCTACCATTGGCAAATTTAGCTACCATACCTTCAGCTCCTGCATCCATGTTATTCATTTAGATTGAAAAATAGTTGAGGCCTTAACACTGAACCCTGTTGCACACCACTGGATACAGTTTGCCAACCTGAAGGAGACCCATTAATCCCTCCTTTATGTTTCTTGTTTGTCAGCCAATCCTTCATTCATGATAATATCCACTGCACCACATGTAAAAATCTTTGATGTAGTATTTTATCAAATGCCTTTTGGAAATCTAAGTACTCTGCGTTGACCAGTTCCCTTTACTTACTTAATGTGTTACTTGCTCAAAAAATGCTGATAAATTAGTTAAACCCGATTTCCCTAGACATATTGACTCAGCCTTAAGGTCCAATTGTTTTCCCAGCATCTTTTCTTGGGTGATGGTGATTGTTCTAAATTCCTCCTGTTTATTCATCTCATCCTTCCATCAGCCAGCGGACATTCATCTCACCAGCCACAGAAGAGTTGCTTTGGTAAGTTGTGTTTGTCAGCAAGATGGAAGGAAGAGCCTGGTGGCTCAATGGTTGACTGCAGACTATATGCACATGCTCCTCCAGGCTACTCAGGCAAGGTAGAAGAGAAACAGAAGGAGGCCTCCTTACTAAACTCAGCAAGTTTGGACAGAGGACCTGGAGAAAGGTTCAAGCTGCCGTGCCCAATGGGTGCAACATTTTGCAGGCCGCAGTGGGATAATTGTGTGGTTGCAGATGCTAAGGAAAGGCAGGGTAATAGTGGATAATGGGTTAAGTCTGCATGAGAAGGATGCTTCCGAGATGACTTGGTATCATGTCACCTGCGTCTTTGCAGATGGAGAGACTGGAGATCAGTTGGGAATGGACGAAGAGCCACCATTTCAGTGTTATCACTTACTTGCTGGCAACAATCCACCCTTGTAGGCATATCGGTGTGGAGAATGAAATCTTCTGGTGCCTGGGCATACTGAGTATTTAGACATTGTGGCTGCTCAAGTGTACCAGGCAGACATCTGCAGGATATGTTGGTGGCAAAGCAATGGCACATTGATGGAATGGAAGAACACAGCAGGCCAGGCAGCATCAGAGGAGCAGGAAAGTTGACATTTCGGATCGGGACCCTAATTCAGAAAAAGGGTCCTGACCCGAATCATCAACTTTCCTGCTCCTCTGAAGCTGCCTGGCCTGCTGTGTTCCTCCAGCTCCACACTGTGTTGTCTCTGACTCCAGCATCTGCAGTTCTTGCTATCTCCTTGATGGAATAGAAATCTTTCCTGTTGATGAAGGGTTCTCGATGATTAGTGGGAGCCTTGATGAGTTAGAATTAGGCATTCCAAGAATTTTTGCATCCAGGGGACTGGTTTTCTTGATCTGACTGTATTGTGCTGGCTAGTTCTCATGAAGAGGGCAACAGTCATCATCTTAGCGTGGTGATATGCAGCTGATTAAGAGATGCTACACATCTTCAGTGGATCCCTGGAATGAGCCAAGCACATGGAAATTTAGTGCCACTATGACCTTGAAGGCCACTGGCATCAAGTGGTCGACCAGAGCACACCTGTTTAACCAGTACTGTACAAGGGTAATTCAAGGCATCTCAGAAGTGGCAAACTTTGGCCAACATGCCTGCCTATCAGTCTGCAATTAGAACATCCTTTTCTGGATACCTTTGCCACAGGCTACGTTCCTTTAATGTTGGTGCTCTGTTGCAGTGACTTCTGTGGCCTTCTGCCATTTACCCTGCAGGTAGCCAGAGGCTGCCTGCCTCTGGTTGACAAGCTTACTGGAGGAGCCTCCTCCTAAAAATATGAACTAGTCAGTTCTTGTTCTGCCACCTCCTTTATCTCATTTAAATATATTCTGTGTCTTGTTTCTTCCTTTAGGTCTAAACCTCAGACTATCATTGTGCAATGTTGGCAGATCCTGGAACATCATGACCTTTCTAGAGACCCTAGTTGCTGTATTTTGAAGAGCAATACCAGATATGTACAGGCACCAGAAGTACATATCCAGTTTGGTGATCACCTGCTCAATTGTACATCAAGTTGTCACATGTCTTCCACTCTATTGTTCCTGGATCTTATTGGTTGGGTCTTCAAACTTTGCTGAGCATCAGCAAAGAGGGCTGCTTTCAAGATGTGAAGATCAAGAAAGGATGCATAGCTAGAGGACAAGAGGTGAAGGCAATAAAGGCACTGAGTCTGGCACCCTTGCAAAAACATCTTTTTGAGGGGCAGAATTTAACACTGTCAGGCAGAAGTCCCATAAAATACAATGGACAGCTTTCCAGATGCCTATACTCTAACTTGCTCCTGTTGCAATTTATGAGTGACAGGAGAGCCATCAAGTAGCCCTTCTGCCCTTGTGCAATCTGGGGTGTGTAAGTAGACAGGAGAATGAAGCTTGCAGGTAACATATTTCAGGCCTCAAATGGGAGAGTGAGGTGGGGTCCATCTATATAAGCATCTGTATCTACAAGAGACCCCCTTTCCGCAAGTTGTAAAACATCCGTCTTTACCATTCCCCACTGGTTCTGTCTGTCAAGGCACCCTAGCCCACTTTCTGGTGCCTGGCAGACTGACACGGCATAACGCTTCCCCCATCTACCTTGACCCTGGCTCCAGTGACAACATTGCTGGGGACTGGATATGTTCTTAGCAGTGGCCAACACTCCCAGTGACACGACTGGGACCAAAGAGCTGCCAGACATTTGATTGGCTGTTAGCTCTTGGCAGCATAATGCCTTTCCCACTGGGGTCAAAAGTCTCACTTGAAGCTAATTAACATGAATCAACAGACATTAAACCACTGCAGGGTCAAGCATCCACCCACAAGACCCACAGGCTAAATGTAAAATCCAGACCATGGTTCCACAACAGCTGCATTTTTATAAATATTCTTGGGTGATATGGGGTTACCTTTGTTGCCTCATGCATACAGTCACTAACACCCCAGGTCTAGTGGAAGTAGGCAAAGACTGCTCACTCAAGCACCTGCATTGTCATGATAGTGGTAATATGCAAACAATTAACTTAATTTTCAACTTCCATAATTTGATTTCAATGCGTGGGTTCTTCATGCACTAACATGGTTTACAAAATGAATAACACTGCCTTTCAAAAGGATGCAGCAAGCAACTAATCATTGTTTTCGTAAAGCAGGCATAAACTATGCGAGATAAATGAAAAAGGCTGAGTTGAAATTAACATTTTATCTCAAGGCATTGAAATTCTTGGTGTTTAGAAATGTTTGCAATAACTTCCTCTTTCCCTGTGCACCTTGTGCTGCAGAAGTATCCTCCAAAATTGTGAAATTTTTCTCCAAAGTTGTGGAAATAACCTCTCAGAACAAGCACTATGAACAAAGGCTTTCACACAATCAGTGAAGAAAGCAGCTGTAAAGTTTCAGTATTTATTATCATATTTCCAGTTCCCTCAATTGTTACTGAGTCCTCTCCTTACTTTCTCTGACAAATTGCAGAAAGCCCACACAGGTAACTTGCAAAGATACATGTTAACATCACTGTTGCTGAATAACTTATTGAAATTGATATCCTGTGTCTTTTGAAGGAGTTACTTCAAACAGTGCAGTCTTTCACTGTTAAATGTGCAAATCTGTGGGTTGGGGTCAGCTTCCTAACACCACCATCAATTTCTGTACTTTTAACCCTTCTAACTGCTTCCAAACTCTCATACTTCAGTAAAGTAACGTTCATCCCATCAATTCTGTTTCTGTTTCCACAGAGGCTGCCTGACCTACTGAGTAATTGCACAGAACATAGAACATAGAACATAGAACATTACAGCGCAGTACAGGCCCTTCAGCCCTCGATGTTGCGCTGATCTGTGAAACCAATCTGAAGCCCATCTAACCTACACTATTCCATTATCATCCATATGTTTATCCAATGACCATTTAAATGCCCTTAAAGTTGGCGAGTCTACTACTGTTGCAGGCAGGGCATTCCACGCCCTTACTACTCTCTGAGTAACGAACCTACCTCTGACATCTGTCCTATATCTATCACCCCTCAATTTAAAGCTATGTCCCCTCGTGCTAGCCATCACCATCCAAGGAAAAAGGCTTTCACTGTCCACCCTATCTAATCTTCTGATCATCTTGTATGTCTCTATAAGTCACTTCTTAACCTTCCTCTCTCTAACGAAAACAGCCTCAAGTCCCTCAGCCTTTCCTCATAAGACCTTCCCTCCATGCCAGGCAACATCCTGGTAAATCTCCTCTGCACCCTTTCCAATGCTTCCACATCCTTCCTATAATGCGGCGACCAGAACTGTACGCAATACTCCAAGTGCGGCCGCACCAGAGTTTTGTACAGCTGCAACATGACCTCATGGCTCCGAAACTCAATCCCTCTACCAATAAAATCTAACACACCATACGCCTTCTTAACAACCCTATCAACCTGGGTGGCAACTTTCAGGGATCTATGCACATGGACACCAAGATCTCTCTGCTCATCCACACTGCCAAGAATCTTACCATTAGCCCAGTACTCTGTATTCCTGTTACTCCTTCCAAAGTGAATCACCTCACACTTTTCCACATTAAACTCCATTTGCCACCTCTCAGCCCAGCTCTGCAGCTTATCTATGTCCTTCTGTAACCTGCAACATCCTTCCGCACTATCCACAACTCCACTGACTTTAGTATCATCCGCAAATTTAGTAACCCATTTTTCTACGCCCTCATCCAGGTCATTTATAAAAATGACAAACAGCAGTGGTCACAAAACAGATCCTTGCGGTACATCACTAGTAACTGAACTCCAGGATGAACATTTCCCATCAACCACCACCCTCTGTCTTCTTAAAGCTAGCCAATTTCTGATCCAAACCGCTAAATCACCCTCAATCCCATGCCTCCGTATTTTCTGCAATAGCCTACCGTGGGGAACCTTATCAAACACTTTACTGAAATCCATTAACACCACATCAACTGCTTTACCCTCATTCACCTGTTTGGTCACCTTCTCAAAGAACTCAATAAGGTTTGTGAGGCACGACCTACCCTTCACAAAACCGTGCTGACTATCCCTAATCAAATTATTCCTTTCTAGATGATTATAAATCCTATCTCTTATAATCCTTTCCAATACTTTACCCACAAGTACTTTTTGATTTAATTTCAGATTTCTAAAATCAAAATATTTTCCTTTGGGTTTGCCTAATCATTTTTTAGACCTAAACAGGTCCCTTCTTAACAGCACAACCACCCCCGTAACTGATACAACTCCACCACTGTACCCATAGAGTGTGGTAGTTCAAGAATGCAATTCACAAGCACATTCTCAAAGGCTACTAGGGATCAGCAACAAATGTTGGCCTGGTCAGTGACACCAACATCCTGTGATCAATTTTTTTAAAAAGATCCATTGTTTTCAATTTTTAGGCATACTAAACAGTTCCAGATGCATGTTTTATACGCCAGTCAGGGCCTAACTCAGATGCTACAGGTCTTTTCTTTCTGGAACTATTATCAAAAGTTCCAAGAATAGTTGCTGATTTCTATTCGAGCCAACTAATTCCGTAACCATATTATATTAATTACAATGTAGTATGCTAAATATTCATATGTACCGTAACAGTGGGTGTGTAACTGTCCAAATCTGGAGTTATCCAAGGCAAATTTTTAGTGAATCCAGCATGTTTAGAATTGTCCCATCGCATTAGTGGATATGCAGATGCCTATTATGAAAAGTAGAATATTAAAACCGTGCCTAACTCTTATGAACTGATTATTAAAAATACTTTGATTAACTGATTGTATCAGTTGATTTCTGATTACCTTGTAATCTTTGAGACCAATCTCTTCACCATAAAAAATGATTGGAGTCCCAGGAATTGAAAAGAGAAGCATCATAAACAATCTGTCTTTAATTCCAACAGCTTCTTTAGTGATCGCAGATGAAATATGTCCTTTAACAAACTATAAAGAGAGCATCACAAAAATAAATAGCTGTAACATTGCACTTAAATTACTTGTTAATATTACTACATATATATACGCATGGAAAAATACTTTGATTAAATCTAATAAAGGGAAGAAAGTGAGACACCATATTTAATGAAATGGTTATCGTAACTGAATATATCAGATTTTTTTTTCATGGGTGTAAGAATATTGCTGATGTTTTGCAAATACAGCAATTTTCTTAGGGTGGAAATTTCCCCTTCCTGGTGAGCAATGGCAAGAAAGTTTTGAAATTATTATGACAATGAAAAAAATCATAATCAGTATAGAATTCTGATTTTTCCTGAAAACTTTAACTGGTAATTTCAGAATCCCACCATTGACCGGCAATTATTTCACTTCCACACATTTGTATCTCATTAACACCCAACTCATCTCATTTATATGTCACTTCCAATTCTTTTTTCCCTCCCTGGGAAATTAAATCATACAAATTCCCGACATGCAAGTCACAGCATGTACCAGGCAACTGCAGCTCGCGGATTGCTTGTCCCAGCCATTATCCAATCACGTCCTCAGCACAGTATCTCTGCATGCTCCAAATGCACCATTCTCCTCAATCCATCATCCATGCAAGTGGCATCAACAAGCAAGTAGTTTCATCACATTGCCATTCCTGATCTCAGACTAACTCTCACACTACTTCAGCACTTTGGAGTTCAGGGACGCCAATGACTAGCAAACTACTGCCAGTTCGCTTTGTTCACAGGGACACTGGATGTATCTTATGACACTTTTCTTACTTTCCTTAGTGTTCACTCATTTGCACTTACATAAAGGCTGCCAGCCTTTGCATACTTCATATAGCTTTTTGAGCTTAGACAGTCTTCAGTGTCAGTTACAGCTGTCAGCCTCTACGCCTTGCATTCCTTTTTAGCACAGAGGAAGAGGCAAATGGTTTGTCACAGTGGGGAGATCTGAACAATCGAGGGAGTAGATATGTTACAGTGTGGCACCAGACTGCATCAATATCACACCTGCAGCTTATGCAATAAATATACTGCATATGCTTCAAGCAGTTAGCCATGTGTGAAAGTGAAAAGTGAACAGTCCTTAATGGGGACAAAGGGAACTACATTCAGTCAAGAGGCGTGTCCAATTCAGTGCAGCTGGCTGGCCATGATCAGTCAGGTGCTTGGAGATTGACCTGTTGTCAGTCCTGCAGGTCAAGTGCAACCAGTCCAGGGTTTACAGTGTATCAGTCATGATAGTGTGGGGACATCATTCTGGAGAGTGCTCAGTTGGGTCTGTCATACCTATTTTGGGGCAGGAGCAGGTTGTCAGTGAGCCATGGTAGATCTTGGGATTTGGGCCATTCTGGTCCAGGAGTTTATCATGTAACAACTCAAAGAGTCCTTGGAAAAGCAGGCAAGTCAAGTTTAGGGACAGAACTTATTGGAGTGGGTCACTGAGGAAATAGCTATAGTTCAATGGCGCAATTCTAGAGAGTAGTGGTACCTCATTGTCAATGGGAGGTGTGGGGCCACAAGAGTATCCAATTGCTCTGGCCTCTACATGTGAAGGATTTCAAGGGCATGGGAATTCGCAAAAAGATAAGGTGGGGATTTTAACAGTTATATAAAGCGGCTCAACAGAAACAGGGGAAGGCTGAAAGGACACAGAGGTCACAGAGACATTAACACAAAAGGGAATATGACAGATGGAGTAACACTTTACATCCTGGGCAAAGTTGAAACCTTGCCTGTAAGATCTTACGTTAACTGTGCAATAATTGCACAAAATATCTACACTTTTATGCAAGGTGAATTGAGTAACTTACTACAGGGTGGAGTACAAATTTTGGAATGGGAGGCCCTGTTATGGGCAGTTTCAGTAATCATACCTCTCCTGATTCAGTTTTACTACTCATCTGGCTTCCATTTCATCTTCATAGGAGGCCATTCAGGATGGAGGTGAGCAATTAGTGGTGGCTTACTGGCAGAATTTTACTGCCACTATAGCATTAAAACTTTGATTGTGCAATGCGCTCTTGGCTAATATCAACAATAAATCTAACAACTCAAGACTGGGCAACCATGATGGGCCATAAGCAGGAGCAGAGTTGTATACCAAAACAATGTACAACCTCATGGCCTTGCATAATCCACACTCTGCCATTACCATCAGGCCAGGGTATCAACCATGGTTCAATCTGGAGTGCAAGAGGATATGCGAGGAGCAGCATGAGGCATATTAAAAATGAGGTGTCAAATTGGTGAAGCAACAAAACAGGACTGCTTGTGCACCAAACAGCATAATCAGCAGGTAATTGATAGGGCTTAGTAACTCCATAACCAATCGATCAGACTTAAGCTCTACCGCGTTCAGTCATAAATAGTGGTGAAACCAATTAAACAACTCACTGGAGGCGGAGGAGCCTCCACAAATATCCCTATCTTCGACTATGGGGAGAACCCAGCATACCAGTGCAAAAGATAAGGCTGAAACATTCACAATAATCTTCAGGCAGAAGTGCCAAGTGAATGATCCATCTTGACCTCCTCCAGAGATCCCCAACAGGTGCCAGTCTTCAGGTAATTCTGTTCACTTTAGATGATATCAAGAAATGGCTGGAGACATCGAACACAGCAAAAACTGTAGACTCTACAATATTCTAGCAATAGTTCTGAAGACATGAGCTCCAGAACTTGCCATAACCTGAGTCAATCCAGTACAGCTACAACACTGACATCTACCCAGCAATGTGGAAAATTACCCAGCTATGTCTTGTACACATAAAAGAAGGATGAATCCAGTTTGGCAGATTGCCACCCCATCAGTCTACTCTTGATCATCAATAAACTGGTGGAAGGTGCTATCATAAGTGTTACTAAGCAGCACTTCCTTAGCAATTATGAACTCACTGACATCCAGTTTTGATTCTACCATGGCCACTCCTGACATCAGTATTTCTACTAAAAAATGCATGGACAAAAGAGCTGAATTCCAGAGGAGAGGTGACCTCACATTTGACCCAGTATGGCATCGAGGAGCCGAGCAAAACTGGAGTGAATGGGAATCGGGGGAAATCTCCATACTGTTGGACTCATAATAATACAAAGGATCACATCTCAATTTCACAAATAGTGCCTGAAACAGTCATGAGCTATTTTCATTTGGCTTAGTCATAGAAGGCTTGAAGAGCATAGGGGTGAGTAGCAGAGCCCAGATAATTTGAGCAGCACAATTTTATCAACTAATAAGTATATTTAATAAGGACACTATTTTGAATGTTTTGGTGTTTAATTTGAGTCTTAAAACTGGACACTAGGTTATCAAATATTTAGACCAAGATGCATGATAGGATAAATCAGGTTAAAAAAAAGACAAAAAAATTATGTGATTAAGCAAACTCATAAGTATTAATCTTATTAGAGAATTTCATGCAAAAGAATTACAACATTTACAGATAGCATATACTAGTTTTCTTACAAAGAAGCCAGACCATGCATTCTCCATCTTGGTGTCATAGTCATCCAATGTTTTTGCAGTCTCAAGTAGACTAGGACTTGTTATCAAGTCAGGTAGATAATAAATAAAGATCATATTCCCTGGAAAATCCTTCAGGACTGAAATCATGTGGCTACTTTCATCTTTATTAGTAGCAATAACAAATACCCTGCAAAAAAAGTGACACATTACAAAAAACATTCTTTCCAAATTCTATTCAATCTCTGATGAGTTAACTTCCTACACAACATCTTATTGTCTTTACTTGACAAATCATAAATTTTAAATTCAAACTTCACAATTTTCTTGACCTAGTTGCTTCCTTTGTTATAAAAACACATGAGTACAGACAGCCATCCATGACAATTATCAGGAAAAAGATGTATACCAAAGACAATTCATTTTAGTGATGTAGGTTTTTGGGCCATGAGAAATCTGATAATAGAGATATACTAGATTAATCTAATAAACTTGGGAGAAGTGATACATGTTTAAATGCAAAAGTACATGAATTACTGTTAGTT